TCATTTAATTAACTTTTTATTCTCTCTGTTTTCTCACTATCTCTGTGCCTTTTTAAGTCTGGCTCTCTATCTGAATATTTCTGATCTAAGCTTACTGGCTCACCAAGGCTTGGTGGTTATTTTCTGTTTTTCAATACTGATATTTTCTCCACTCATCCTATTCATTAGAGGCAGCCTTCCCTGGATTTGGTCATGCAACAGGTTTCTTCTTGTTAGAGGAGTTCTTCCTCTGCACTGTCACCAAATGCTTGCTCAGCTGGAATCATTAAGTTTCACTGGATAAACTACCATGAAACAACTTCTATTGTGTTCTGATAAAGCTGTTAAAAGCTACATTTAAAAAAAAGAAGGTAAAACCATATATGAACACTGATGAAACACTAGACCTCTTGAATTGCTCCATAACATTCAAATTGACCTGTATTAAGCTGATTAAGCAAACGCACAGGAAAGAGCTTGAGTGCTGGTATAGACTTACATCTTTCTCTTGTGATTGTAGACTAAATGTGGCAGAAACAGCAGTAAAAGCCAGTTAATAACTTCATGAGGATCCTTAACACTTTGTCCATATTATTAATGCTCTTCACAATCAGAAGTGGCTTAAAGCAATAACTTACCTCCCTGTCCCTTGTGGCTAACTTTTAGTTGAGGCTGCATCACATTGCATTGCTAACTCACAATGAATTACGAAGAGCTGGGTTTCCCTTAGTGTAAGCAGGAAAAAGATTCTGAATAATTCCTGTAGCTGCTTCCAAGTAAAGATGTTTTTCCAGTTCTCTTGCCTAGTGTGTGCTGCAAGGTACTGTTTTGGGGCCTTTTCTTTTTTTCTTATATCTAGTCCCTTTTCAGCATAATTTAAGATTTCTTATCACTCTATGCAGATGACATCTTGTTATATATCTGTTTCAAGCTTCAAGCTGTTTCTAAGTTAAATAGTTGCCTAGTTGGTTAGATTTTATTATCAGTTGGATGACTGAAAATTTTCCAGGAGAAAATGAAAGTCCTTTTTTGTGCCCTGAACACATTTCTGATGGAAATTGTAGTTACACTTGCTATTTGCCAAAATGTCTATAGAACACTTTGATTCAGCTTTAACTTTGCTAATGTGAAATATCTGGTTCACGCTTGCTTTTATCACTGAAGAAATATTGCTAAGCTGAGCTCCACTGTGTCATACTCTGATTTAGTCATGTCTTTATTTCATCACATCTGGATTATTCATATTCATTGTTTACATGTCTTAACAAAACCTCTTTCGAACATTTTGCAGGTGGTTCAGAATGCTGCCACGAAACTTTTGAATAAGTCTTCCAAGTCACTCGCCTCCCACCTGTCACTATTGCTAATTTAGTTCCACTAGCTCCCAGTTAACTTGAGAGTCTGCTTTAAGATTTTGCACATCAGTGAGGCTTTACATGCATACTTCTCCTGCAGGTCCCTGGGGTCATGTGATCAGGATCTGCTAGCTGTGCAGCACACAAGACAAAAAAAACTAAGGAGACAGAGCTTTCATGACAGTGCTTTCAAGCTCCCTTTGAGCTCGAGATCTGTGGACTACATGTTTTTATGTTTTATTATTTTCATTGTGAAGTATTTTGTGATATTTATCTTGAAAAGTGCTATACAAATAAAAAAAATTGAATTTACTAATTTACTATTTTTGTTGCCAGTAATGGTAATTGACTTTCATTCTAAACTATGTCACTAATCATAAACTTAAACCCGATAAACATGGTACTATTGTCAATAGTTGATACTGTATCACCAGCCCGAACATGTTGGTATCACACAATTCTAGGTCCTGGGGTGAGTGGGAATAGAGGCAGGGAACATCCTCGGCAGGTCAACACTCCATCACAGGGTCAGCAGAGAGACAGACAACCACACACTCTTACATCCACACCAATTAACAAGTAAAGCTTGGGACGGTGGGAGGATTCCTAAGCACCTAAAAGCAAAGTCTAATGACTAGTTGTCTAGTGTAAAGAATAAAAAAATGTATTTGTGTTTAAAAAAAAGTGTTTCTATCAACTGAATAGTTTTATTCTCCAAAATATAATAGCATTATTTCTTTGTATAAGCCATCACATGTAAAAGTCCATATAATTATATATGTATAAATGCTTGTATATAGATATAGATTTACAACAGTTTATGAACTAGTAGGAGCCCAAATAAACCTTTTTCTGGGACAATAGCGTTAGTATAGGGAGACAAGCGAGGATGTGTGGCAGTGTAACAATGAGAAACAACAGCAAATAGAAAGAGAACTGCAGTTGATGGGTCTACCAAACAAAGCAGTTCTTCCCCTGTTACACTTCATAGGGAGGATTAGGAGTTCAGTGGGAATCTGTGACCAAGTGGACAAAAGTGGCAGCCCAGAGATTTCCACTATATGAGTGGACATAGAAGACAACAGTACATAAACATTTTACCTTTACAGTTCATGCACATGTAAATACTGCTTATGTTTGCATGCATCTTCAGAACTGAGAATTCCAAAAGTGTTGCAAAGCTACTGAAATCACTCTCAAATCCAGCACCATGACTAGTCTTTTTTTTTTAAACATTTTTTCTGCAAAATTTACATTTGTTTCCACATATATCTTTTTATTACTTAAAAGCAGTACGTAATGAGCTGATCTGTGGGAAGCTTGGTCCCAAACTCACAAGAAAGGAATACTTTTAATTATTCCTCTCTGGGGGAAATGAGACAAAACCTTCTTACTGCAATGCACTTCGCTCTTTACATTGTGCTGCCTCTTTCTCCTGATACTCATGTCTGGCCTTTACTCCGTCTCATGCTCTGTCAACATAATCTGCCACCGTGCAGCAGACAGGCTCAAAAGCGGACCTTTTTACTTTCCTGCAGGTGGCTGATGTGACTGAGGCAAGAGGCAGCAACAATCCCTCTTCACTCACTTCCCTCTAACACTAGGACCACCTTATTTCCTGTATAGCACAAATTCCCTCTGCCTGCCAAGAACACATTCTTGTAAAGCAAAGAAAAAAAATCTTATTAAGTTGCACAAAGAACCATTAAGGTATCCTTGTAACACTTTTCAGCAATTCTCTATAATGCTTTAGCATTTACAAGCAGTGCATAAATACTTAATAAATGGTTATAAATTGTAATGTTATGTTAGGAATCTACAATTAATATGATTTAATAACAGCAAGAAAAACCAGAGGTCAAATCATTCTCTGGAAACAAGTTAGCGCATTTAAATCAGTTTGCTGTACCTTACTTTCAGCCAATTAGATAAATACAGTACTACTTATGTCGATGCATCAGTAATAATGACCCCACGGTGTAAGCCAACAATGACTAAGGCCGTTGTGCATGAACTTTTACTTGTAAAGGAATATTTTTAGGCTGTAGCACTTGTAAATACTTTTTCAACCACTGGTTTTTTAATCCTCTAAAATTGTTTTTAAGATGTAGGAACATATTAGAGGAAAAGGTGACATTTAAAGATTGTGAATATCTGTAATACTTAGTTTTGGTTTCAAAATGTAAATATAGCTAAATATAAAAACATTGAGCTCAAGTAGGCTATCATGTTTTTTTTAATGGCTCATATAAATGCCTTAAATCACAACTCTTCCCCGTTAGAAGAATAAACAGCTCTTTGGTCTGAAGCCAGCCAAATTAAATGAGCAGTTTTTTAATTTCTGAGCGCCTTGCTGTGTGGGAACATTCAGCAATAGCTCAGCATGTCAAACCATGTCAAGTGTTACAGTTCCTTCCTGTTTTGGGGGGGGAAAATATCACCTCAGAGATGAATTAAAGTAAAAAGGCTTGTCTTCAGACCCCTTCCTAAAATGATTAACCCTCCTAAAGAGCATTATTGAGTTCTGAGTGGTTGTGCCTTCTCTTTGCCTGTAATTGTTCTTTTTCTGTTGTTTCCTTCATCAGTCTCTCTCCTCATTATATGAAAAGAAGGGGAAAATGTCTGAATAGAGGAGGGAGATTTTCCCACAGTCACTCAACACAAAAAAATACGCCATTGTAACCAGGTTCCCATCCCAATGCCCTGCTGCACAGTCCACTGCGGTCAGAGGGACAATATCTTTATAATTGAGTGACCATTCTTTCGCCTGTTTGAAAAGTAAGTGACTGAGAATACAGTTAACGGCACATTTGAGTGAGTTCAGCAGACGGGGAGCCTGCTTTGTATATATCACAGTGTTTTAAAATAAACGTAATAAAAATTGCAGGTCATACAAATATATAAGAACTGGCATTCTAAACATATAGTGAAAATAAAATTTGACAGATAAACATGCCATAAGACGACAGAGAATAAATGATTTAAAACATGCTTTAAAAGGCGTTAAAAGAGAAAGTTCAGAGACTGGACATCTTTGGGCATTTAATAATATGCTCCAGATGTGGCACTACTTACAGGCTTGTTTTCAGGTAGAGAACACAAGTCGTAAAATTATTTTATTAATATTAAAATAATACTTGATTGTTAATAGAACTGTATAAGAACTTTATAAAATCAGTTTTCCTATACAGTATATATAGAGATGATCTTACCCACCCTGTGTCGAAGAACAGTTCAAAGATTTTTAAATTTCACATTTTATAACTTTATTTGTTTTTTTATGCTGTTTGTTTTTTCAATTTGCTATCATGGAGCCTGATAATATCTAAGTATCTAACATCTATATCTACAGAAAACTGATATATACTTAATTGTAATTGCAGTTTTAAAAGTTGATCCTTGACTTTAAGAATTATGTAAACAATTTCCTTTCAATCTGTTAAAAGACTGAAAAAGAGAAATGCCTTAAAGCTTTCAGAAATACTTGCACAATAAAACCCAGTAAAAATAGTGAATTTAATTTAAGCATTTATTATTACTAGTATTTTAGCAGTAATATCAATATTCTCACAACTACGGCTGTGTGCGTGTACGCATGCGTGTGTGGAGCCTCGACTTCGTTAAGCGCGCACAGGCAGAAGCCTGCACTCGAACCAATCAGCGCACAGTATTCTTCGGCTTGTCGAACAGCAATGGCGGAGGCAATGAAGCTAAGTAGAAATCATGCTCCTCCCAGTGACTCCAGTAAAATGTCCAGCTATACAGACTGTATGGATTCGTTACTGCAACTGCTAGCAGACTTCGGGGAAGAGGTTTGTTTGGATTGTTTAAGCTGCCTTGTTTCGGACATCGCTCCTTTCAGTCCGGGGTGTTAGCTGGCTGCATGCTAATGTTTTTAGCAATGTGGTGTTAGCAGGGCTGCTTAGCGGACCCACACTGTTCATTCATTGTCACTCACACAGCGCTGTGGTGCTTTTTTTTGACAAGTAGGTTGTTGCAAAGTAACTGTGCTTTAAATGGTTCAGTGTTGTTTTGAAAGTAATTTAACATATAAGATCGAGCTTGTGCCTTGACTGGGCTTAACTAGGCATTCTGTTTCATCAGTAACAGCAATGTTTCATGTCATTATCCCTGTTGCCGTGCTTCTCGTATTGGATTGAATACACATCTAAATAAACCTCTTTATTCCATACATGCAGAAAATGATCTCAAGCCCTGCTATTTGTGTGGTAAAGCACAAATAAAATATGCATTGAATAAAAAATAAAACCATCGCCTTTCACCCGCTTTATGAATCTATAGAAGTTCATTATTTTCCTAAGTCTGGGATAATCTTATTTTTAATAATGTATTGATTGACCACCATTGCAATAATCAGCCAAATATATTAATTTTACAGTGACAAAAAACAGCTGAAAACAAGAGGAAAATAATCCTTTATTTTACATTAAATTGAAGCTGATACCACCAAATGCTTTTTCTTGAACAGTAACAAATCAATAATAATTACCCAGTTAATTATCAAAAATAGTTTATGTACTTTCACATCAATCAATTGTAACTTGCATATGTGAGACAAATGTATATATTGTCCTGTTGGCATGCAATTGCATGTTAAATGCTGATTCACAGTAACATCCACACGTTGTCTTTCCTGAAATTAAGCTGAAATTTGGGGATGCTGCTTTGAAAATAGATGTCAACCCCAGCGCTGTGAATCTTCAATCATCTCCACCTGCTCATGTTTACAGCTCATTACAAGGACATATCGCTAAATTACAGGTAAAAACTTTAGAGGATTTTCAAGAGCTGACATAGATTATTATGCAGCTTTTTATTGTGTTATCATTGCAAGGAAATAAAAGTAGATTCGAATTAACAATATCTGAATTTTAAATTTTCGATTATTCTTCAGAGCTTTAAATAATTACATCTAATATTCTTCTTTCTGGCCTGCTGTTTATTTAGGCTGTTTCAGAAAGCCTAAAGGCGTTGTTGGATGCTGATGCATCCTCTTTAAAGAACACATCAGAAGATGCTGTCATCTCATCTTCAAGCAGTGCACAGACGGCCACGCAGTCTGAGCACCATTCGCACAGCTCCGGGGCTACAGAGAGCAAGACGGCGGCTGATGATGTCATGGTTCAGATCCGAGCTGGGAAGTCAGAGGTTGGTCGCTGTCAGCAGATCTGTCAGCTGTTCTGGCAGTGAAATTTTAGAGCCCTCTTTACACTCTGTCAAGCAAATGAATAATCATAAGTAATTGCTCCAGAGGATGTGCACATGACGTGCCGCAGCAAAGCAAATGCTTGATGGAGACCTGATAAGCTGAGTTCGGTAGAGAATAAGGGGTCCTTTAGTGCTGCGGTGGGGTAGAACAGACCACATTGCTGGAGGGTTTTGAGAGAGGGCCAGGTCCTTGATGGATTATGAAGTGGATGCTCATTACTCTGAGATTGCATGTGGATGAAGGACAAGAGGCCCCATTCTGTTGTGCATTTATTTTGGTAGCCAAGCAAACAGTATTCATATTCCATCATGTGATGATGGCAAGCAGTTCAACTTTTTTGGCTACCTGGAAATTTCTGAAATGTAAATTGCCGCACCCTATTTGTCCCACATCATTATCGTTAAATAGTCAAAAACATAGCATTCTTGCCACCTCATCAATCCATTGTATCTTATTATGTTGTCTTCATTGTAACCCTAGATTGAGCGAAGAATATCTGCATTTATGGAACGCAAACAGATGGAGATCAATGAAAACAATGTACGCGAGTTTTGCAACGTGATCGACTGCAATCAGGGTGAGAATGGGAGAGAGGTGGGGGGGGTGGAGAGGGTGCCTGCACACAGATTGCCAATGTTTGGGAGAGAGCTGATTTCCACAGGCGAGAGGTCAGGCTGAACTGCTCCAAGAGTGGGGCTGAAGTAGCTAACACACTCGGCCTCAAAACACAACCCGCTTAGTCCAGAAAAACACGAGACAGAAGAACCTTTTTTAAATTCAAAGCCTGTGTGAGACACCAGTAACAGAAATCAGGAGTAGTTGTTATTCAGGTGTGATATACATATACAGCTTTTGGTAATCATGTTTAATTGCATTTGGTAATTCTAATTGCAATTTATATTAAATGTGATCATCTGTAGAAAACAGCTGTGCCAGAACAGATGCCGTATTCACTCCTTACCCGGGTTTTAAAAGCCACGTAAAAGGTAAGAAAATGTCAGAATTTTTAACAGCTTTTTTTTAAACTATCATTTGTGTAATTAAACTAAAACATGTTGTTTACTAGAATCTGTTTAGGACCGAGTTGTATCTTCTGTGTTTGTTTCTTGGCTGGGCAGTCACACGAGTGGTAAACACTTACGGACCCCAGACCCGTAGTGGGGGAGACCAAGCAGAGGCTGGGGATAAACAGAGGGGGCCATTGACGAGAGACTGTGGAAATGCAGCCATAGAGGAACGACTCAACAACATCGAGGCTCACCTCAAACTTGCAGCAGGTGAGGGACAGGAAGTTATTGTGAGGCTCAAATGATCTTTGTCTTGTATATAACATTGTACAATATATTTAACTCAGCAATTACATGACACCTTTTATTGGCACTGTATTTTTTACTTATAGTAAGCCTTTATTTATAAAGTGATCTATTATTTGGTTTATCTGTTGTTATCAGTCATTCTTTGTTTGCTCCTACTCTAAATTTCAATTTTCAAACTGTTCAACAAGTGTTTTACTCCTCAGTGGGTCCAGTTCCATTGAGTGTCTACCAGCGACTCAAGAAGTTGGAGGATCGTATACTCGAGTTGGAGGGACTCTCGCCTGAGTACTTTCAATCCACAGTGAGTCCTCTGGCTTCAAAATACAAATACAGATACATCAAAGGCGTTAATAGTTATTTATGGCAGAGGTCATGCATGTTTGAAAGAGGAATGAGAATTTATTTTAAGGCACTGAATGTAGTTTAATTGCCATATGTCTTAATGAAATTCTACGAGTTGCACAATTTGTGTCAGTTTTAGCCAGTTTATTTCCAGCTATTGCCAGCTGCCAGCCTGTCTGCTGCGATTCATACAGTAAGCAGGTGCTGCATTTCACCTGAGGAGCCTGACTGAAAGAAACTAACCATGAAGGCAAACCTCCCTGTTCACACAAAAGACTCTCTGGGCCCTCGTGAGACTGAAGTTTACAGGCGTGTTAATGTGGAGCATATAAATCATGCGTCCTGCTCTGATTAGAGTTTTTGTGTGTGTATGTGTGGGGTCCCCCCCAACCTGTTGTCAGTGATTTTTTTTTTTCCCTTATTCAAGTCATAGTAATCATAGAGAATTTGGAAATTGTTGAACACGACAGTCTGCTCCTTCTCCATTTTGTTTTGAAGTGCTTTTATGTTGTCGCATTGGAACTGAAAATAACTTTGCTTCCATTTCCAAATGGAATTGCAACTAGTTTGCACTTCTTAATGACTTTTGAGTATTGAGGCTCTGGTTGTGATCAGGATGCTAGTTTGAGGTTCAATTCACGACAGATGGCACCCTTTTCGTATCGGAGAAAGACAAAAGATCCATACTGCATTGGTAAGAAGGCTTTAGTTTAGTTAGAATTTTGGTTTCTCCATTTTGCGCACTGTCAGCTCAGTTGTGTATGATGCCTAAATTGGCATGGAGAGTATTGGTTTGCTGTAGGAAAAATCATTTCAGAGTGATATCTACTTACTGAAAGGAGTTTGTGGGTTATGAGAATGGAATTTCTTCTGTTATGCTTTGATACTTCAACACGTTTCACTCTTCAAGTAACACTTAAGCTGATTTAAATCAGAACTGCAGTGCCTTTGGTTAGACTTACGTAAACGTTTAGGTGAGGGCAGACGGATGAATCTCAGAATTGACAACTGTTCATTGCTATTGAGATGATGCTGACTCAAAAGATGACAGTAGGTAATTTATTGGTCTTTCTATTCAACCTGTCAGACATCAGCAGTTACACAGACTCTGATTTCCCAAGCTGAAGGAGTCTGTCCAGTGTGTTAGTTATCTAAGTGTACTTGAGATGCTACATGTCTCTTCATCCTGGTATTTCTCAGCACAGCATGCTGCTTCTGTGAGTATGCTGCTCTCCATCTGCTTTTGACTCACTGCATGTTTGTGTGAGCTGAGCAAGAGTTGTTGAGTGTCTTTGAATAAACTGATGAGGATGGGGGTCTTTTATATTCCAAGTTCGCCCCCGCCCCTCCAACCCAGCCCTCCCTTTTTTTGCATTAGTTTGGTGTTTTCCAAAAAGCTGTACACAGTTGGCCCATGATTCCAGGGACAGCGTTTAAATGCTGATTATTAATGGAGGCTTCCTAACAAAATTAGACAGCAACATATCAATAAAAAATTTGACCGTGTTTGAAAATTAGAACTAAAGGTACAGAAGCTTACACAGTCTCACATACATGAAGTTTTCTATTCATTTTTGATGGTCTTGTTAGGTGAGGCCACCTTTATCTGTCTCCCAGTGTTTACTTTTTATCTATTTATTGTAAAAGCATCCAATAAGAACACAAAAATGTTTTAGATTAAAATGGAGCTTTTCGTTATCCTCAGCTTTGTGTATTCCCTTTTTCTACTGCGTTGTATTTCTTTCTGGGATAATACTTTTTTCTGTCCTCGAGAGGGCAAAGTAGGAAGGAGCACAGATGAGCACCTCAGTATGCTTCTCAAAGCTTGTTTAAAAATTGCCCTAATTAAGAAGGTCTTATGTGTATTTGTGTGCTTGTTTTGTAGAGTCACCTGCACAAACGACAAAAGACGTCCTCTGCTCAGGTTTGTTGTGTTTCCTTTCCTCTCGCAGTACTTTGTAAGTGGAGGTTAACCTATATTAAGTGAGCTGATCATTTTTTTTCTTTCTTTGTCCTTCAGTCCTGCAGCCTGACAGAGCTGGATGAGAAGATAAGCGCAGTGAAAGCAGCTCTGCTGAAGAGGGCGACTGAGTTTGGGCCAGAATTTGGAACAGATTGTACATTGTGATATATTCATAAGCACAAACAAATACTCGAGTTCAGTTGCTCAAGCATTCACAGTGTGTCATCATTTTCTTTTCCTCCAACTCTCAGCTACTCATTAGCAGCATTCTCATCGTCTGTGTCATTAAAAACTCCCAAAAACTCTTCATATGACATTTGATGATATTGGATGGAAATCATGTACTGCTATAACAGTTAAATGAAATGTAAATTTTCTGTAAATAAATCTATATTTTCCTCCATGAAAACCCTGACTCGTGGTTTAATCACAGCTATTACTATATTAGTTAAATCTAAAATTTAAGCTAAATGCAGTTTGTGACTTTTATAGGTAGAAATTAGTAGTGCAAATAATATTAATCAGATTGATCAAAAAACATTTTCACTGTGAATAATTTGTTCTGTAAATGAAACCAAATGTCAACATAGTATCCAGCCTTATACTCAGTGTATTTTTGCTTGTATTATAACTTTATGAATAATCAGTGGTTTTTAAATTTCAGCTCAAATAGATAACACATAACCTAAAATACTCTTTTAAATTTAACATTATAGAATGCATGTATATTGGATCTTTGACATTTTCATTTTCACACCCTAATGACAGGAAGGCAAGTGTGTGCGTTTATGCATGACAGTGTGTGTGTGTGTGTGTGTGTGTGTCTAGTCGAGATGAATCAGAGAAAGGAGGGAGAGTGCACCTGATTTATCTGCCTGACTGCTGTGTGACGATGATCACCCCTAATGGTTGTCATTATAACAAATGACCTGATTACTGCAACTCTGTTTGGGAAACATATTGGAGACCCAACAAACCAGCATTAAATGGGACGCTGCTGCGTTTGACACTGTGACATGTTCATAAAAGGCTTTTGCATAGAGCTTTAACTTCGCTAGTGAGTGAAGCTGTAATTATGATTTCTTTTTTTCCAGCTATCAGCAAATCTGAAGGGCTGTTGCTTTATCTTGAAACTGCTTCAGTAGAAGAGGATGTATATAGAAGCTTAAGAAAAATACTAACACAAGTATTTGTTACGCAGATTTCTGCATTTAAAGTCGTATTTTTGAGCAGCAAATTTATCAAAAGGAAAAAAAATACTTAACTTTTACCCCCATAAGTGTTAATTGGTATTAGAAATGGCACTGTTTTTAACACACTACGGCCACAGTTGGTCGAGATGATAATCTGAAAACTTTAAATATTTATAAGGAAAATTTGACTTTAGAGGAACTCGCATCAATTCAGAGATACTTAAAACAGGCTTCTTCTTTTGTCTCGTGTCAAAAACATCAGGAATCACTGGTTTCTGAAACGTTATACTGCTATACTTTATATTTTATTTTTTAAATAAGAGTTCACCACATAACTTGAAAAAGTTATTTTGTCATGTAGATAAATCATCTGTTGCCTGTCATTGTGTGTTATAATAAATTTGTGTTTATTAAGTATACGTAATATGTTTCCATCGAGGAAGGGGCATTGTACATTATCTTGGAGAGTTGATGTCATGAAATAAATAAATAAATGTAAAGTAAGTACTAACAAGACCTGTCCATTAAATGTAATTATATAAAATGTGCAATAATGTCCTCTTAAATTTATTGCAAATATGAAGTGTCATAAACATTCAAATTAGCTGGGTTTTAATACTGTGAAGTGAATGAGCCCAGTTTAGAGGCGAGAAAAGCACTCAATTAATTGTTTTTAAAACAAAAACTCAACAGATTGATCGAAAACATTTTTTTAAAATTCTATATTATAATATTGTATATATGTTATAAAAACCAGCAGCTTGAATTCATGGCTAGCAGACCCAGGCACAGTCTATTTTTCAGAGCCACAGGACAGAAATTCTTCTTCTTCTAACTGAATAAAAATAGCAATGTCATTTTCAAAATAATTTTTGCAGCAGGTGTGACAAACTGACAAGTCCAGAAAAACAACTTTCTCACGTCTTGGGAAATTACTGTAACTCCCCTTCCTTTTCTCTCCAGTTGCTCTTTGTACATCTTGTCAAGATTTATTTCAGAGTTGATTGATGGAGTGACCTGAATACAACGGCAGACGTCGCATTGTGTTTTTCGGAAGATATTTCATTCTAACGCGGAAATGGGGAAATTTCTTTTCACCCCTTCTTTCAGGTGAACCCCGCTTGTTGGGGTCTGTCCATCTCTTGCTCATAGACTGGAACCTTCTAGGCAACAAGGGGCCACAATGTGCTGGGAAGGGGAGCACTTGAGCTGTGGCGATGTGGACGCGGGGAGGCCGGGGGTATTCTCATTGTTCCTCTGGAGCTTTTGTCTCAAACACAGTCCCCTTATGAGGGTTAATGAGGACAAATTGGTCTGAGTGTAACAAATGGATTATGGAGTTGGACAAAAGCTCGTATTTTGTGGGGTGCTTTCTCTGGGATCCACCCATCATCTGCCCATTGAGCCAAATACGCTATCTAGCGTCTACGTGAAGTGGCTTCCTAAATATCTCATTATCTTTATCCTGTCTGATTTATTCATTGGCACATTATGCATGCAGCTTCCTACGGTGGATCTAACAAAAATGTAAAGTTTATATCACAGTAATGCAGTTTCAAATCATGGCAATTACCTCTCCTCTTTCCTACTGCTTATATCAAGAACACAAAGTCAATATGTCAACACTAGTGTCAGTGGTTGGTGCTCTATGTCTGTGTAGGCATAGTGTACCTGTACCCTTCCAAATGAACAAAGAGCCACTTCCTTTTTGACTCTATGTAATTCCTGGCTGTCAATCAGTCCTTCCTCTGCCAGATGTCTTGAAATGTCCTTGGGAACCTCAGTAAAAAGACACAGAGGTGTTCCTTGTCTTCCGTGGGTCCAGTATTTTTTGTGGGGTCGAAGGAGAGGATTCATATCCATTCATATCTCACAAACTCCTAATGGGCTCCAAGCCCTCCAAAAAGAAAGCTCTTTCCTGTGACTAGTCAGCTCCAGTCTTTATTCATCTGTGGCTCAGTGTCAAAAAAGACTGTTGCTCGTTTGTGCCCTGAACAATGAGGAACAAGGCTGAATCTCTAGCTGGGAACAAAAGACAGAAAACAGGCTTTTCACTCTGCAGAACATTAGATTCTGACACATTTTGCCATGGCAGTTTTTTCCCCATCCTGAGTGCTGTGGCTCTGGTCTTTTAAAGAGACCACCTGTTGGCAACAAGCCTGTTCTTCATTACAGACAGGCCTATTATCACAGGATGAGGAGCGCCACAGGCTAACTTTTTTAAGTTAACCCTGCTGCAGTTTTCAAAGCTGGGCGATTAGGAAACATAGATTACGCATTACCACTGGAAAATCTATTTTTTCTTGTAATTTTAGATGTTGTGTTTGAATATGGGCTTTTGTCGCCGTAAGGGGGAAGTACTTTATCCATGCCCTTGTCAGTCGCAAATGTCACAAAGGGGGCTCAAATGCTCGCAGCTTCAGTTTTCTATAACTATAGATTTGGAACCAAATTCAGATGCATTTTAGGAGAGAGTCCCAATGGACTTAATGCTACATTGTTGATGGTGGTCTGGGCTTTTTTTTCTTTTCCATCTCACTGTTTCTGTTGAGTGATTTTCAACCCACAAAACATTAGCATAACTACAGTATGCAGCATCACAACTGTGTGTAAAATAAAAATATTGTGGGTGGCAAAATGAAGCAATCAAGTGTATACTTTGGTTTTGAATTGGACATGATAAACACAGGCTGACAGGAACAGGGAGTGTTCTGCCGTTTGATTGTGTGGAAATTTTAAAGATAATGTTAAATAATTTATGGTTCTCATAGCTCTGAAACCACACGGATAATTCAAATTTCATGACTAGTGCTTGCTACTAGCACACATTTTGCATGTACGTGTAGAGGTTTTTGGTGGCCCGGGACGCCGGTGGCAAAATTTCACTCTCTTTAAGCAACATGAAAAACACAGCAAATACCATCACTCTCAGGTTATATCCAATCCAGACGCATTTGTTTCATGTTCATAAACACCCAGATAAAGAGAGTGCATGCACCTGTGACCCTCCCCCACAAAGCAGACAGCACAAGAGAGGATCCCCCTGTAGCCCACAGGCTTCAACAAGAGGCAGTCAGCTGCTCTCTGTGGCCCTGCTGCACAGTCCCCAGGCTCTCTGGAGTTAAATGTGCCTGTGATATTGCCAGGAGGGAGCAGCGGGAGTTGAATTCAGGCAATTACAATCAAGTCAGGGCATAGTTAGTGCGTGGGTCCTGGCAGCACCTGAGCTGGATGCTGATGAGACACTTAGCCACAAACCCTCATGCATTGGCCCAGGCACTGCATAGAGCAAGCCCTCCTCCCCCACCTTCCCTCTCTTCCCACAGCAGCAGACCCCCTACTGGACACTTCCACTTCCCTTTGCCCCATTTAGGCCTCTAGAGCTCTCTCATACTCTCTCTCTCTCTCTCTCCCTCTCTCTGGCCCTCACATTGCAATACTTCTGCTTTATATAGGTGGTGTGGAGTACTGCACTCAATCACTCTTCATTCATTCACACTGTACAATAATAGACTACTACTCCGATATTGTCCTTCAAGCACCTGTGCATAGCAGAGCTTTAAACCTGAGATGTGTCATGCCAAGTTTTTGAGAAATGTGTGAAGAGTTATTTCTCTTAAATGCACAAAAAAAAGTGTGGATAAGACACTTTTGATTATTTCTGTTGCACCATAATGTGCAGAAAAAATCACTTTCAGGAGAGTTTTCCAGCATGTCCCCATCTTTATTAAACATAAAACCATCATGCTCAAGCCCCGTCACACTGCCATCTCTGCACGGATATTCATTTGCAGGTGGCTGAGTATAGGACTGCATGTCCCGACTGATGTGCTATGGCAACAGGAAGAGAAAATGGAAAGGGAGGAGCGCTTCTTGAATATCTATGACCCAAGAATATGGAGTCAGGCATCACAACAACAACACTCTTAGCCCCTTTTTCCAATAAGATGCTCTCAGCTCTTTCTGAGGGAAAGCCTCCCGGCTCCCGCCCTCTCTCAGCCACCACACTTTGCTGAAGTGTCATTAGGATTGTAAAGGGCAGGTTGCCATAGAACTCAGATTGCTGCAGATGTATGGACTCAAAGATAAAACCACAATATTTTAAATATAAAGATCTGAGTGTGGTATCTAATGTAAGGGGCCATGCTGGGGACTGCACTTGCTGCTTCTTCATCTGTAGTCTCTGTGCATGAATCTGTCATGTGTC